CTGTGCCACGAATGACTGACTATAATTGTGAGGAATGGAATGGATTAAAATAAAAGTGGGGCGTCAAACTGAAACGAATGAAAAGACACTTCTGTTGTGGTGAACAAGGTTTCAACACGCACAACGACACCTTGTTGTGTGAATCTTTAAGAAGCGTTCACATAAATGTAGTCCCTCATTAATTGCGGGAGAGCCGTACCCTGAAGCCAAACAATAAGTGAAAACCCACGAAGTAGGAATAGTAATACAAGAAGTAAGTAGTAGTTTATTTTAGTATTTATATATCATACATATATGTACAATATATTAATATATATAAATGTGCATATGTATCAGCTGCAGAAGGAAGCATCCCCCACAGCTGTGGGCTGCACACAGGTGATAATAATTTTAAATAATTTATTTTGAATAAAAAAAATCCATGCCGATCGTGCAGCTCATCCGTCTATCAGCCGCTGTGTGTCATGCCCAATCTTACTTTGAAAAACCGTGATAAAGCGAGTCTGCGAAAAACGAACCGCGAAGTAGTGAGGGACTACTGTATTGTGATCCAGTTTTCTTCCGTACGTTTTTTGGAATCGTTCTCGTTCTACATTTTTTGTGCTATTTCAACAATTCAAATAGCAAAAATTTCAGCTCTTTCAGGACAACCTTGCTATGACTTTTGGTATTGATGCAACTTTAGCTTTTTGAAATATTTAGCCTTTTCTGCCACTTATTATCTCAGAAAATGAATTGAGCTCATTTTACATCCTTCAAATCTTTAGATCTGTTTACAACCTTTTACTGCTCCTTTCACATTTTGTTCTGGTTCAGCTTCCTTGTGCAAATTTAAATTTATTTTCAGCTACTTTCAGCTGTTTTTTTCAGCTGTTTTGCACTGTTTTTAGATTCTTTCTGCCAGTTACAACATTTTTGTGCTTCTTCTATTTCTGCTGATTTGAGCTTATGCTCCTTTCAGATTATTCTGCAAGTTTCAGCTTTTTCTTCTATTTCTGCTGCTATTTAGCTGTTTTATGCTAATTTTAGTTTTTTTTTTTTGTTGTTTTTTTTTTTGTGGCTAATTCCACATTTTTTGTACTCGTTTAAACTTTAATTAGCCTATTTCAGCAAAAATGTGCTCTCTCCACTTCCTTCTGGTAATTTAAGCTTATTTTAGACATTTTTAGCTAGTCTTCAGCTGTTTTTTTTTTTTTTTTGGTTGCTATTTTCAGCTTTTTTCAGATCTCCATTTTTTCGTGCACATTTCTGCATCTTTCAGTCTAACTGAGTAAACGTGTTCTTTCTGCTTTCTTCTGCTAATTTAAGCTTGTCCTAACTTTTCAGATACTATGTTTTAGCATTTTTCAGTTAATTTCAGCTGTTCACAGATAAATTCAAGTTTGTTTGTTTGTTGGCAATTTCTGCTACTTTCAGCCTAATTAACTTCTGTTTTCTAAATTCAGCTCCTTCCAGCTTTTTTCTGCTAGTTTCAGATTTTTGGGCTATTTCAACTACTTTTTTAGCTGTTTTGTGCTAAATTTTGCTGTTTCAACTAATATTCATGTTTTTCTTTTTAGCTCATTTCATCTCCTTCCACCTCCACCTGGTAGTGTAAGCTTCTTTCTGCCTTTTCAGCTACTTTTCAGTTGTTTTTTGCTCATTTCTGCCTTGTTAGCTAATTTCCTATTTTTCATGTTAATTTCTGCTCATGTAAACCTAATTCATCAAATATGTGTTCTTTCTGCTTTCTTCTGCTAACTTGGGCTTGTTCTGCAATTTCAGCTACATTTCAGCATGTTTTTAGCTAATTTCAGCTGTTTTCAACAAGTTCTTCAGCAATAAGCATTCACGCAGGAAAAATTTCTCTAATTTTTATTTAGTTTTCTTTATTTCTTTCTGTCTCTTTGTGGAATGATTACACTGTTATAAATACCAATAACCTGCATTTTGTTGACATTTTGACTTTAATTTCAAATATTACCATAACTTGTTTTTTATATCCATTTCTGGTCTTTTTTTTTTCATTTAGCCTTTATTTATCCAGGTTAGTCTCATTGAGCCACGAGAACTCATTTTCAAGAGAGACCTGTTTAGGGAGCACATGGTGGGGGTTAAGGGCCTTGCTCATGGGCCCAGAGTGGGGCGAATGAGGGTGGGGGCAAGTGTGGGTGTTTCACCTACCCCACCCACAATTTTTGATGTTGTCGGGGCCGGGGCATGAACCGGCGATCTTCGGATCACAAGCCCACCTCTCTAACCTCTGCGCCACCACTCCCCTTTTAAATCCATCCATCCATCCATTATCTTTTCACCCGCTTCTTCCATTTTGGGTCACAGGGGTCACTGGTGCCCATGTCCACCTATCACTGTGCGAGGGGCGGGGTACACCCTGGACAGGTCTCCAGTCCATCACAGGGACACATAGAGACAAACAAGACAAACAACCATTCACTCTCTCACTCACACCTAGGGACAATTTAGAGTTACCAATCAGCCTAACATGCATGTTTTTGGTCTGTGGGAGGAAACCTGAGTACCTGGAGAAAACCCACACATGCACGGAGAGAACATGCAAACTCCACACAGAAAGGCCCCCCTATGTACAACCAAAAGAAAAATGTGCATTTGTTTTAAAGTTTGCTGTACATTAAGAAAACATTAACTGGGAGTTGTTGATGATGGTATATAACATTTTATTTACATTTCCTACTTCGTCTACAACACTGAGTTTAAACAAACCAGATGTTTTTAGGTGTTTAAAGAGCCGAACATAAAACAGAGCTAATCGCTCCTGTTTCTACTTTATTTCATTCACCTCTTCATGTAAGAATGGCTCGAGCTAAAAAAAAAAAAAAAAAAGCCGAAGTGTTTTTGACGACCCTTTTCTGCCCATTGAGGTTGGCAACTTGATGGAGTCCGTTCTTGAACATCAAAGTTCATGCTCAATAATCCAGGTAAAAAAAAATCCAACAAAGTTCTTTCAGGTCATTTGGACGGTTTCTTTTGTTGTTCTTGAGACGTTTTGTCCTTCATCCAAAGGATTTCATCAGTCCGAGGAGCGACAAACAAACTCAGTCCCACAAGCAGCACACTCCCATAGAGCAAGTGCTTGTTTGTGGCTCCTATGATTGATGAAGTCCTTTGGATGAGGGAGGAAATGTCTCAACAATAACAACAAAAAATAAAAGAAACCATCCAGAGGACCTGACTGAACTTTGTTGGATTTTCCACCTGGATTACTGAGCATGAACTTTGATGTTTTGAACCACTTTGGCTCTGGCTCCCTCAGAGGAGTCGATGGGGGAGAGGGCGGGCTCCAAAAGCCCTCTTATCACCATCAAACTGGTTGGTCCACTATGAGAGTGTGCTGCTTGTGGGTCTCAGTTTGTTGGGGCTCCTTGGACTGACGAAGTCCTTTGGATGAAGGACGAAACATCTCAACAACAATAAAAAGGAACCGTCCAGATGACCTGACTGAACTTCGTTGGATTGTTTTATGAAATGTTTTAGTTTCTTCTCCTTCGTTTTACTAATGTCACCTATCGATGGTAATTTTGTTTTTAATTTCGTAAACAGTTTTGCACTTCGGTGCTGCTTCTGTTGTTTGCAAAGTGTTCTATAAATAAACAGGGCGCCACAAGGCACAGCAAAAGACGCCCGAAGGAATAAAAACACATTCGCCTCAACTCTACTTATGCACTAGTTTTATTCAAGAGCTTCCACCAATCAGATATTCTACACAAATTGCATTTTAAGAAATAAAAACTTTATAAAAGCTGCTTAATAGTGAGCTCCCTCTCTATATATGAGAAAGGTGCTACATAAATAAGTGCACCTCTCATAAAGGTGAGACTTCCCATCAAGCTTCCTCAAATATATTTCTAATGTGTCAGAAGAAAACGGCTAATAAACAAACAGATGGAAAGATGACTCATGCATTAAATAACGTGACCTTTCTGGCATAATCGGTGTTTAAACTCGTATTGTTAAAGTGACATCACCGCCCTGAGAGGGTTTTTTTTTTTTGCATGAAAAGAAAGTAATAATATATCTAGAGTGGGATTTTGATACGTCTTTGTTGGGAGTTTCCACAAAATCACATTAGTTCAGTTACTTATTAAATTTTAATTAGTGACGACTAGCTAAACTTGTTTCCCGTAAGTCACCAGAACGCTTCCTGGATCCTGAGGCCTAAACTCTGCAGCTCTCTGCACTTTTTAAATTTCTACTTTCACGTCTGGATTAACGACGAGCGAGTGGACATTAATAAACAATAAAAACTACGTTAATCTATTTATGGTGTAGGAGCTCTCGGTGTGGGTCGTGGACCTTCAGCTGCATACGGTCCTGTTAGTGCAGCGGGTGGTGGATTAACCGCGGCAGCCATCTTGAATTGGGTTGACTCCTACTAAAGTTAATCTGTGCAGCCAATAATTTCTTTCTAAGAATCTCAGTGAAATGCATTCATGAAATATTTTGCTAACATATGGGTTTGACTCCAACAGTTAGTTGTTTGTTTTTTTTAAATAGGTGCTCAAAGTATGTTTTGTGGATAATGCTCAGATACTACCTTTTATTATTTTTTGTGTTTTCCGATTTCCGTTGGCTGTAGCGGCCATTGAATTGGTGTTGTCCCAAAAAGTTAACCAGTTGTATATCTATACCTTTCAGAATGTTTCATTAATGGATTTGAGATATTTTACTAACAGTGTTCATTCCAATAATTAATGACTAAGTTTTAAACGGACCGGTTAGTGCTTCTTGTATAAACTGGGGGTCAGTCTCAGCTACTACCACACCAAACATCTGTAAAGTTGGCAGAGTTAAACCTGTTTGTGAATGTCACAGTATTGCTTTGCTGTGGCAGCCATCTTGAATCCAAGTGACTCCAAAAGGTAATCTGTTGTTGGTGTCGATCCAATGACTACTTTCAGAAAGTTTCATTCAAATATGCTCATACGTCCGTGAGATATTTTGCTAACAGACAAGCACAATTACAATTACACACAAAGACTCGCCTTCCACTGCTCTCTTGAAGAAGACTTTGCAGCTCCCGCAGGTTAGGACCCCGTAGTGGCACCCAGAGGCCTCATCTCCACAGATCACGCACATCCTCTGAGGCTGCATCCTGAAAACATGAGATGACGCTTTGACAGATTCACGAGAGCAGCTCAAACTTCTAACAATAAACTAAGACAGAAGTTTTTTCTGCTTTCTAAGATTTTTCACTTTGTGGTAACTGATCGCCCTGATCCATCATAAAACAGATGTTTATTTTAAAAAAAAAGTTTTTGTTGTTGTTTTTGTTTACCCTGGGAATGCAGAGAACGGGGACGGGTTCCTCTGAGACGGGTTCTGGTTCTGGATCCCCACATAGCTGCTGGCTGGGAACGCGTCCTCCGCGACGCCCGCCGTCCAGAACTGAGTCTCGGCGGGCGATGTTTGCACCTGCCAGCGGGGCACCGCGTGCTGCGCAGCGGGGGGGTGCGTGCCCTCGTCGAAGCTCACGCCCGCCTTGGTGGTCAGAGCGCACCTGGAGTCAGCCCTCACCTGGCTCACGAGCTGCTCGGACGGGTTCAGGTCGATGAGGAAGTTCGGGGAGCCCTGCGCCTCCAGCCCCGGCCGCGGCGCGCTGAAGCCGCCGGACTCCCCCTCCCCGAGCGCCAGGTGCTGCTTGCAGGTGTCCATGGCGGGCATCTCAGGGGAGGACTCGAACCTGGAGCAGGGAGCGTCCATGATCACAGAGGGCTCCTTCTCATCTTTGATGAACTTACAGGGAGCCCCGGAGGCGGAGGACTGGCTCAGACCGGCGCCGGACGCGGCCGCGCTCGTCCTCTGAACCTTCACCAGCTCTTCCCAGTGCACGTGCTCGCTGCTTTGCTCGTAAAAAGGTTTTGCAGCAAGTGAAGCGTCGAGGACGTTGCAGTCTTTGTACAGCGCGCAGTCGCCGCTCGCGCTCAGACCGTGGATCAGCGCGCCGGCGTTCCCAAAATGACGCGAGGAGGACGCGCAGCTCAGGGATCGAACCTCCGCAGCGGGTTTGGAAGCGGACCTGCTGTAACCAGCATCACTCAGGTCGCTCACTCTCAAATCTGTTAAATCTGCAACAGGGGTGGTGCTGATGGCGCTCATCTTCCCGTTCATTTTGTTCTCCATCTTTTATTTATTTAGACGCTCGAAGCGCGCGCGTCCTGAACGCGCCGCAGGCTGGAAGGTGTGTGATATAAGTTACAGCTCAGAGACCTTCCTGTAATCCTCCTCCCTGCCAAGAATGCTCCGACTCTGTCTTTCACATGGAACAAGGGTTGGACTACAAGAAGTAACTGGTTTTAAAGAGGGGGCAAACTTTCAATCAGCGCGCAAACATGTCCCCTCTCCAAAAATACGAGTTTACACAAAGTCCGTCCTGTGTTTGTCCGTGTCATGTTGTAGAAGTCTAAATAAGATCTGTTTTTATTCCTCTTCTTCACAGATTTCCAGAGTTCCTCGCTGGGACTGAGATACCCAACCGTCCAAAAAGGTGGAGAGGAGAGAGTCGAAGCTGAGCTGGGTTTGGAGTTGAGCTCTGCTCTCACAGCAGACCTGAGGAGGAGACAGACAGGGGCCAATAGTCTCCGCCCTAAAACTCACAAGTCCAAGAAAAATGAGCAGAGAATAAAAACCAAACGAAATTCAGCTTTAAATCAACTTAAAAAAAAAAAAAACAACTTCTCTGCAGTTGTTGGGTTGTGTTGACCGAATGAAGTTTATTTTGGCTGCTCCCTTCAGGGAGGGAAAGACCTGGCAACAACCTGGGCTTGCACCAGCAGCTCCAGAATAATGAGACAGCAGCACTTTACCACTGAGCTACAGCGCCCTCATATTGGTTTTGACCTAATCTTTTCACCCTGTTGGAGATTGGGTCGCCAACTTTCACAAATAAAAAAAAAAAGAACATTGTCTGGACACAGTGGCACAGAGGATGTGTGTACTTGTACTTCATAGCAGGGCTTGATTTGAGCCGGATCCTGCGAGAACAGGATCCAGGAACTCTCTTATTTCGACAGGTTGCGTTCCAGCAACTCTTTGCTTCCAGTAACTCTCTGGCTCACTAATAATAAAGTTATGAACAAATACGACTGCCTTGAACGAATAAAACTTAAATTGGTCAACTGAAAATAATTACATAAACACTCATTTTAAACACAACAGCCACTTAAGAGCTCCCATCACACGCTGCCGCTTCAAGTAAACATCTTCACTCCTACCCTTAAAAACAAATCTCCACCACTATAAGTCCAAAGTATCGTGCAATTTTATACAAAATCACAAAACTATAATTAAACAGCACAACTATATTGCTAATCAGTTTGACAGTTGAAGTGGGTCATTAATATTTTTTGGATTATTTATTAAAAATACGAGAGAAATGTTTGTGTATTATTCACATTTCGTATCAAAACAACTGCGCTAATGTGTCAAAATAGCAGCGAACAAAATGTAGAAAAGACAGTCCAGTTTACTTTAATTTTAAAAAGGCTTGTCGTTGTCCTTAGTTGGACAACTGAGAATTGAAGCACCTGAAGGCAGCATCAATCGAGATTGGAGCAGGAACGAGCGAGTGGTGTGGGGGTGAGTGCCGAGCTAACCAGGCAGTTGTAGGCGGGCAGGAGCCCACAGGAAGCCGCCATGAACAGATGGGGAGGCGCCTGGAGGTTTCACATGTGGAGTCGGACAACAACGAGCAGGACAGTTAATTCAACGGAGAAGAGTTTGAATCAGAACCGTCAAATGGGGGGTGGGGGGGGTGCTTGACAGAAGTGGCGTGTTTACAAATGTAAATAAACGTAGATGTTTAACAACCTGTTAAAATACACCAAAATGCAGGAAATTGCATCTACTTTATGTAACATTTTCTGGGGGAGGACCCCGAGACCCCTGCCCCCATTTGCATTCCTGCATCAATCAGTTTACAAATTAAGCCCCGCTTCATGGTGTTTAGTCGTGAGATGCTGTTTGTAAGAGTGATAGAAAATGCAACAGCCGAACAATTACCAAACACATCGTAAATCAGTGTTTTGTCCTTTTTAGCTAGCCTTTTTATAATTTCAGCTTTTAGCCTGCCTGTTGCTACTTTTATCTTTTACAGCTAGCCTTTTGTTCCCTTAAGCAAGCATTTTACTATATTTAGCTTGCATTTAGCTTCTCGCATTAGTAACTAGCATTTTACTTTTTTAGCTTTAACAATTGTGTTTATTGTCTTCAGTCATTCAGGGCTCAACGCTGTGACTGAACGCTTGTTTTAGAATGGAAACAGTAAAAATAAGAGTAAACAATACTTTTAGGATGTTTAACCTGGTTGGCTTTGGAAACTAGTTTCTTGAAATAACCTAACTTGGTGCTAGTTAGCTAATGCTAACAGCAGTTAGCGGTTAGCACCAAGCCAAGTTGTAATTATTGACCCGGATTCCAGGTTCTTTATTTTAACGCAATTTTTGAGTCGCTTGAATTCAGCATTTTAACCATTTTAACCAACGTTGAGGTAAAAAAGCTGAGTCTAACTAATAGTCAAAACATGTTGAGTAAAAAAAAAAAAGGTTGGTTTGGATCAAATCGGACCCATCACTGGGTTACATGTTGGATTGTATTTAACCAAGCAGTTTTTAGAGTGTACAGATGAATGGAAACTAAAGAATGATCAGTTCTGCCTAGTTTGGTTCTTTAATTTGCCTTTTTTTTTGAGACATCAACAAGTCTGGATAATTAAAGGGATAGTTTCAATGTTTGGAAATGGGGTTTTGTGGAAAAGTTTTTTTTGTTTTTTTTATCCGATCTTACTTGCTGTAGATGTGTTTTTGGATTATTTGAGTTTGTAGACTTTAAAGGTACTCTTTCGTGTCATGACTCGTCTTAAAACAGCTGCAATACAAAAAAAAAAAAAAAATCCCATTGGATCATGGAAAGACTATTTTACAGAGTGTTACAATTTCACATTATCCAGTTATTCCAGCAGAAACATTTGAATATTTGTACCAGAACGGCCTCGAACTTCAGCTGCTGCTGATGTTTGTGTCGCAAATAACCACAAAATTGTAAAATAAGTGAAACTAAAGCTCAAAGCACTCACCATATTCCCTGTCAATATTGTAACAAAAATAGTGTGCAACCTGTTAATGCTCAGTGTCTGTGTTGAGGATGAGGATCAGCTACTACCACAACAAATTTGAACAGAATAGCACTCGAATTGATGGAGTTAGTCATTTTTATGTTCGCTAGAGTTGAGCACACTGATAATGTGAAGATTGTCTTCATTGTGTTGGTCATACAATTACAAAAAAACAAGTTTGCTCTCCTCCCTGGACTCATCTGATTTGTTTTTGTTATCATAGTTAGAAGACAGAACAGGTTTTACTATTCGAGTTAATCAAAGTGAGGATGCTGCTGATGCATGCAGTCATGATGCACATTCAGTCCTTGGCCCTATCTCCTGCATCCTGCTTTTTGACATCATAAGGGATTCTCATGCTGTGGCCTACATAATCCTCCGATAACAATGACACGTTCATATCTGGATAATGTGTTCTTCAAATGCGGTAATGGCCTAGTTTTCTCACAAGATAGCGTGAGCCTTGAAATCTTTGGGCAACTTCCGCTTTTCCAATCAGCTGTCTGCTTTTCTTCGGCATGGGGTGAACATGTTTCATTAAGCCCCATGATAATCTTTCAAAACAAAATGTTGTAATCAGTCTGAGTCTTTAAAAGCTATGAATGGTCTTTTTGAGGTTTTCTCAGTCTTGTATCTTTGAGGGGTGTTGTAGCTTTTAGTCCTTTTTTTGTCTCAACCAGGAGGCTGTAACCTTTACAACATTTTTGCCATCATTCCTTCTTTAAAAAAAAGTAAAAAGCCTCCAAATTTATGTAAAACAGTTGATCAAGTTGAATAATTTTGTATACCGGTATATCAACTCAATCTAGTTATCACGCTGTTTTAGCAGTTTATATATCAAAGTGTTATTTATTTCGAGGAAGAGATATCTGTGTTTTGGTTTTTGAAACTTTTATACCATTTTATATTTTTTACTTTATTTACAAATCTTTTCCCCTTAGAAACCCATTAAGAATTCATAAAACCCTTCAAAATACTGTTCTCTTTAAAATTCAGCTATTTATTTTTTTTGTTGTTGTCTTCTAATGCTACCTTAAGCTTCTACCTCGCTGTGCTACTTTTACCATTTAGTTATTGTTTTGCTACTTTTGGCTCATATGTAACAATGTACTTCCTTTGGTTTTTAGCTAGATGTTTTGCTACTTTTAGCATTTAGCTATTGTTTTGCTACTTTTGGTTTATATGTAACAATTTACTTATTTTGGTTTTCAGCTTGATGTTTTACTAATTTTAGCATTTAGCTATTGTTTTGCTACTTTTGGTTTATATGTAACAATTGACTTCTTTTGGTTTTAGTTAAATGTTTTGTTCTTTTTAGCATTTAGCTATTGTTTTCTAACTTTTGGCTTATATTTAACAATTTACTTATTTTGGTTTTTAGGTAGATGCTTTGCTAATTTTAGCATTTAGCTATTATTTTGCTACTTTTGGTTTATATTTAACAACTTACTTATTGTGGTTCTCAGCTAGATGTCTAGATACTTTTAGCATTTAGCTATTGTTTAGCTACTTTTGGCTTATCCTAACAATTTACTCCTTTTGGTTTTTAGCTAGATGTTTTGCTACTTTTAGCAATTAGCTATTGTTTTGCTACTTTTGGCTTATATTTAGCAATTTGCATCTTTTGGTTTTTAGCAAAATGTTTTGCTCCTTTTAGCTTTTAGCTACTGTTCTGCTTCTTTTAGAGTCAGAGTCAGAGTCAGAGTTTCTTTATTGTCATTCGCACCTCATGTGGTACATGTGGTGGAGCGAAATTATGTACACAGGGTCCCAGTTACATCCAACAATAAAATGTATAAGAAAAACAGTAATAACATCTAAGATATGAACTAAGAAAAACATCAACTAAATATACACTAAGCACTCATAACATAAAACATTGAACATCAGCACAAACATGAACATGAGTCTGTGAGCAGATGTGCACGCATGAACACATCAACATTGAAACAGATCAGCAGCAACATGAAACAGATCAGCAGCAACATGATATGGTTTTTCACAGTGATTATTCTAGTTAGAGATTCATGAGTCTAACAGCCTCAGGGTAGAAGCTGTTCCTCAGTCTAGTGGTTCTACACTTAATGCTCCTTAACCTCCTTCCTGAGGGGAGTGGGGCAAAAAGTGTGTGTGCTGGGTGGGTGGGGTCCTTCATGATGCAGGTGGCCCTCTTCCTGCATCTGGAGGTGTAGATGTCTGTGATGGTGGGAAGACTGATTCCAACAGATTTCTGTGCAGCCTTCACCACTCTCTGCAAAGCTTTTAACGCCAGCAACTCAAGTTCAAGTTCCTGGTGCAATTTCATCAGTCGTTCCACTCTCAGCAGTCACACTGCATGTTTCCAGAAAATGCTATTCATTTAGCTCTTTAGCTCAGGGGTCTGCAATCTCCGGCTCTGGAGCCACATGCGGCTCTTTGGCCCATCTGCAGCGGCGCTTTCAATCTTTGATCAAAACTAAATTTAAACTGAATTTAATTGGTTCTTATAACAACAAGGGCTCGTTTTTGCCATTTTCTTGTCATTTCCTTTGCAAATATGTGAACTAATACAAAGAGTAAAACGTATCACTTTCACTTTGTTTTATTTCTTTGAAGTAGTAATTTTTCCACAATTAAAACAAATCACATAGACCTGCATAGTTCATTGTTTTAATTTTTAAAAATATGGGAACAACTGTATTATTTTTTTTCTGAAAAAGTTAAGTCTGGTCCTCTGGACGGGTTCAAAAAACCCATTTTTTGAATGGACCAGACTTAACTTTTTCAGATTTTTCTACCTGGATTATTGAGCATGCATCAGGATGTATTATTTTTCCTTCTTTACAAGAATATTGTCTGTTATTTCTTCTTAAAATGTAAAAATATCAACAAATGTTAAAAATCATATCGGCTTTATAATGTCACCCCTACTGAACATGAAAAGCGCCCTCCAACAAACTTAAAGTGGTCTGCGGGCCACCAGTTGAGAATCACAGTTGTAGAAGGCTTTGTGGCTCCGGACACGTTTAATTTAGTGAAGGAAAGGGCAGAAATGTCTCTTTCCATCGTAAAGGTTGTGGACCCCTGCTTTTTAACTATGTGTGCTTATTTCTGTTCACAAAAGCAGCCTAGTTCACCTCATGGACCTGCTGCAGAACAGCCATGCACAAACTGTCATAATCTGAAAGGAAAGCAGGTGAAAATCCCATTTTTTGTAATCCATTTTAATTTAAACATTACTTAGGTTTCTGTCATTTTTGTTTGAAGGTACAAGGAGCCACTTGAGACGAGCTGAAGAGCCACATGTGGACCCCTGGACTTTAGGGAGGCGAGCTGTTGTGCACACCAGAGGTCAGACTGTTCCCGCTCATGTTGCTTCACAGCAGGCACGGCAGAGCACAGCAGTAATGGTTTTAAAACACATAATGCCTCTGTAATCCCAGGGAGCCGGCTTTGATTCTGAACACGTTCATCAAGCATCACGCTCAGGTGGTCAACATTTTACTGAGGCAGCGTCATAAAAAACAACAAAAGTTAATGTCTTGTTTTTAACATTTATGACAGAGCTCATTAACTTAAGAGGGAAAAGAATAAACAGAAAAGCATTATTATTAAACTACTTTATTTTATGACTGAATTAACTAAGTTACAACTTTACCTCATAAACAACCACATAAATGTCATTGTTAAACCTGAACAACAAGTTGTGTTTCTGTCGGGCAGTCGTAAATAATTTCCACAGAAAACATAAAAGCAAGCTTCAACAAGCAGCTCCATCACTTGTTAACTCTCAGTACTGTACTAATGCATATTAATATAACACAGTCTGAGAAACAGGAAGGAAAGAACATTATCTTAGCACCACCATGTGGTCAGATACACACAGGCTCAAAAAGATTCAAGTGCTCAACTCAAAAGGTGTGTTCAGAATGAATTCATATATAAACACACACACACAAATATATATACATACATATATGTACATGTACATGTGCTGGTCATAAAATTAGAATATCATGAAAAGGTTGACTTATTTCAGTAATTCCAATCAAAAATTGAAACTTGTAAATTATATTCATTCATTACATGCAGGCTGATGTATTCCAAATTTTTATTTCTTTTAATGTTGATGATTATAACTGACAACTAATGAAAACCACAAATTCAATATCTCAGAATATAGAATATTACTAAAGACATTACGACAGACTCAGACTGCAGGCTTACTCATGGTCCCTATAGTTTTCAAACGCAGAATGGGAGGAAGAACTCCCAGTTGTCAGGCTCGTCTTTTATGAAACCAACTTCCAGTTTCTGTCCGTATGGCTGACACATTGTCCAGTTTTAAGACTGGACTTAAGATGTTTCTTTTTGATAAATCCTATAATTAATTGGTTTGGTTTATTTAAAAAGTTTATTTAAAACTTCCTGGTAGATTGCTGCGTTGACCTTGAACCTCAGAAAACACAGTGGATCAACATCAGCAGATGACATAGCAGCCCAAACCATAATTGACTGTGGAAATTTGACACTGGACCTCAAGCAACATGGATTCTGTGCCTCTCCTCTCTTCCTCCAAACTCTGGGACCTTGATTTCCAAAGGAAATGCAAAATTTACTTTCATCAGAGAACGTAACTTTGCACTACTCAGTAGCCCTCCCAGGCAAGATGCTTCTGACTCTGTCTCTTGTTCAAGAGTGGCTTGACACAAGGAAAGTGACAGCTGTAACCCATGTCTTGCATACTTCTGTGCATGGTGGTTCTTGAAGCACTGACTGCAGCTGCAGTCCACTCTTTGTGAATCTCCCCCACATTTTGGAATAAGTTTTGTTTCACCATCCTCTCCAGGGCGCAATTATCCCTATTGCTTGTACATCCAACAATTTTCAGTCAGGTCATCTGGACAGTTTCTTTTTGTGTGTGTGTGCTGAAACGTTTCACCTTCCATCCAGATGGCTTTGTCAGTCAATGAAACACACAAAACAAAACTGATTCTTCCCCCAACAGCTTACTCCAAAGTGGAACAAACCAGTTATGTTAGTGCTAAGATGGTCTCTTTGGCACGCCCCCTCCTCCGGTGCTGGCCCTCTTCCTCGTCGACAGTCATGTCAAACTGGTTCAAAACCAACAAATTCCATGCTTAATAATCCAGGTATACATACAATCCAGCAATTTTCAGTCAGGTTATCTGGACAGTTTCTTTTCTTTTCTTTTTATTCTTTTTTTTGCTGAAACGTTTCACCTTCCATCCAAAAGGCTTCATCAGTCAAGGAAACACACAACACAAAATTGATTATTTCCCCAACAGCTTACTCCAAAGTGGAACAAATCAGTTTTGAACCAGTTTGACATGACTGTCGATAAGGAAGAGGGCCGGCACTGGAGGAGGGGGTGTGCCAAAGAAACCATCTTAGCACCAACATAACTGGTTTGTTCCACTTTGGAGTAAGCTGGTGGGGGAAGAATCAGTTTTGTGTTGTGTGTTTCCTTGACTGATGAAGCCTTCTGGATGGAAGGTGAAACGTTTCAGCACAACAAAAAATTAAACTGTCCAGATGACCTGACTGAAATTTGTTGGATTGTATACCTGGATTATTGAGCATGGACTTGGTTGGTATGCTTGTACACTTTTTTTCTACCACATCATTTCCTTCCCTTCGCCTCTCTATTAATGTGCTTGGACACAGAGCTCTGTGAACAGCCAGCCTGTTTAGCAATGACATTTTGTGTCTTGCCCTCCTTGTGCAAGGTGTCAATGGTCGTCTTTTGACAACTGTCAGGTCAGCAGTCTTCCTCATGATTATGTAGCCTACAGAACTAGACCGAGAGACCATTTAAAGGCCTTTGCAAGTGTTTTGAGTTAATTAGTTGATTAGAGTGTGACACCAGGTGTTTTCAATATTGAACCTTTTTACAATATTCTAATGTTCTGAGATACTGAATTTGGGGTTTTCATTAGTTGTTGGTTATAATCATCACCATTAAATAATAAACATTTGAAATATATCAGTTTGTGTGTAATGAATGAATATAATATAAAAGTTTCACTTTTTGAATGGAATTACTGAAATAAATAAACTTTTTTCATTATATTCTAATTTTATGACCAGCACTTGTACAGTATATATAACAGTAACATTTTAAGCATTTTGACTTTGATTTGATGTCTTATTACTGAGATAATTCAAGAAATTCCAATAAACAGTGGCTGTGGCGCTCTAGAAGTGAAGCTGAAATGGGACCTAAAAGTCATAGGTTCAACTCTCTACCATGCCCACATGTTGTGGTGTCCTTGAGCAAGACAACTAGTCTCTAATTGCTCCCCGCTTACATAACTGCTCGCTGCTCCACCTGGGTTTATCTCACGTGTGATGGGTTAAATGCAGAGAACTAATTTCATCATTGTATAGAAACATACAGCAATGAGCACTTTCTTCTTCTTCTTCTTCTAAACGCATGTCAGTTGATTACACTGACTGATTCGTCCTGCTCGTAACAAACAACCTCATCCAGCTCTCTGACGAGCTCAGCCAGTGGATTCATGCTCTGGTCTCCTCTTTCCAGCAGCTCACATCGAAGGTTGGAGATGTCCTGTTTGATGGCTTTCAGCTCACCTGTGTGACAGTAAGACAAAAGTTTTTTTTCCCCACCTCTTTTTTTTTTTTTTTTTTTTTTTGTTAATGTGGCGATCCAAACCAGAGAAGCAGTTACCTTCATTCACTTCATCCTTATCTGGATCTGTCTGTGCTTTTAATATGAATCTTTTAATGAGGCAAGCCATTACTTTCTGCAAGGAAAAAAAACACAATTTAAGTGTTACATTGATGATCCAACTATTTTAATAAGACTAAGTTAGTTAAGAAATAAAGTGCAGTAATTGATTTAATTTAATGAGCATTTCTGATTGAAAAAACCTTCTCAAGTAATTTTATTGCTGATTGGTGAACATGTTTTAAGTAGTTCAATTTTCAATTCAGTTTATTTATGTAGCACCAAATCACAACAGAAGTCATCTCAGGGCACTGAACAGAAACATTCATATATAAAAATAATAATTGAACATTATTTATCTGAGGAGCAGACTGCTTTGACTCCATCACAGAACTCTCATCTTGAGCAAGCATGAAGGCGACAGTGGAAAGGAAAAACTCCCTCATAAAGAGGAAACCTTTAACAGAACCAGGCTCAGGACAAGCGTTCATCTGCTTCAACTGGCTGGGTTTGTTAGGAACAGCTACACAATGGCAGGTCAAGAATCACGTTGAGATAGAAATAGTATCAAATGAAAACTATTCAATTTTAACAATTCATTTTAAGAAATGAGGTCAATTTGTCCTCCAGTAGTCTAAGCTTAAGACAGCATGACAAATGAAGCCTAACTATAGAATTTATCAAAAAGTAAAGTCTTAAAACTGGACAATGTGTCAGTCTCACAGACAGAAACTGGAAGTTGGTTCCACATGAGCGGAGCCTGATAACTGAAAGATCTTCCTCCCATTCTGCTTTTGGAAACTCTAGGAACCGCAAGAAAACCTGCAGTTGGAGAGTGAAGTGCTCTGTTAGGAAAATATGGGACAATAAGATCTGTAATATTAGATGGAGCTAGGCTGTTGAGAGCTTTGTAGGTTTGAAGTAGGATTTTGAATTCAATTCTGGATTTGACAGGCAGTTCTAGTAACGTTTTTAATGTGGGGGATGAAAGACATGTCCTGATCGATAATAACACCAACATTTTTAACATTAGAGCTGGAGGCCAAATTAATGCCATCTAAGTTGGGAGAAAGACTGAAAAATGTATTCCTAAGATGCTCGGGTCCAAATATATAAACCTCAGTCGTGTCTGAGTTTAAAAGCAGAACATTTAGGGTCATCCAGGTTTTTATGTCTTAAGACATGCTTGTAGTCTAAGTAGCTGATTGGATTCATTGGGTTTTATGGACAAATATAATTGCTGTTTAATAACTTTACCTAATGGAAGCATATATAAGGTAAAGTTTTATTTATTTATTTTTTGTCCTTCATTTCTTTCAAAGTGGGAGAGTAAATGATGTCATCAAGTATAAAGCTGGTATCGGCCCGAATCATTTGGAAGTTTTTATGAGTACAAGTACTTGAGGCTGATATCAGTAATGGGACCAACCTGTTAGCAGCTTATACTCCTGAATATGAGGTGCTGAAATAATTTATAATAGTGCATGTTGCATTTTTACCAAACTTAATGCAAAACTTTCCAAGGCGAGACAATTTGCAGTCAGGTGGACAGCACAGATATTAAGGAGCTAGTCGGCATAAAGCAATGAAAGCTGCTTTACCTGATGACAAGCAGGAAGCCGACATGCATCCTTCAGCTCTTTGGGTTTCCTGAACTAAGATTAGAAACAAAAAGCATGAGAACTACTTTTCATGCAGCTATAGAACTGTGCAATGGGTATATGACAGCAGGAGGGTTGTGTAAAGTATTTATGTATATCTTACACATGGATATAATTCTTATTTTCTGTCCAGTAACATATATTTGGAAACCTTCATGCGTAAAATGTTTATTTAGCAGTCTTACATTGTTCAGTTCCATCTCATCATTTGGGTTGGCTTCTCTTTTGCTTGACGGTACATCCCACAGAAGTTTCTTCAGTCTCATCACAAGGGAAACAACAGATTTGGGACTGGGTACGAGGTTAAAGGGCACCGGCAGCGTTCGACCGTGGTCGAAATAAGAGAACCACAGTTTGGCTCTGGCAAATTTCCACTCCACATCCGCATCATCCTGCAGCGCCAGATAAGAATGAGGGGGAATGAGATGGAGAAAAACATAATGTTGACCATGAGTGATAATAGATAAAAGACATTAAATGGGGGAGAAAATGAATTAATAGAGAATAATTAATAAAAGTAGTTGGTGGTTAAGTCATACCTGAATTTCATGGAAGGAGCTGTTGAACATCGCTATGAGCATATTGAGCAAAACAATCACCATGGTGAAGTTGTACACCCCATAAAGAACATAACCTGTGTTCTCTATGAACTTGTGGTTGATGTTAATGACCACTGACTTCACTCCTGACAGTCCAAAGATGGCCCAGAACAAGGTTTTGAAACTTTCTTCCACTCTGGAGGACAGGAAAACATGGACAAGGAGTTTTAGTCGTGCACCAGTAGAGTCCAGGACAACATCGTAATGCAGATTTCCTGCACTCACGTCGTAAACGCAACGTTGTGCTTGGCCCCGAGGTAGTACGAGTACAGGTTGAACATTCCCACCATGAATGCAACAAAAACTGTTGTGAAAATCACCATGAATTTAAAAATGTCTTTCACTGTTCTGCCCAGGGAGATCTGCAGAGGTCCGAACCTCTCGCTGGCAGGCAGGATGTACGCGACGCGACAGAAACTCAGAACCACAGCGATCGCGTAGAGGCCCTCGGAAATGAGCTGCGGGTCTGAGGGCGTCCAGTGAATTCTCGCTGGGAAGAGAGAAATGTTATCCTTTCGGTTTTTGGTTGGTACAAAGTGGGTTGGTTTTAAAAACAAAAGCAAAGCAAAACTAATATTTTAAAATCCTTCTAAAACTAAGTATTGCCATCGTCTGATTATGTCTCATACATTTTGATAGTTATAGTCGTATAAATAGTGGAGTAAACGTAGATTGTTTGCTTGTTTCTGTGTGTAAATTGTTCCATCATCTTTTACTCGCTACTTCCTTTTTGGGTCGTGGGGGTCACTGGTGCCCATTTACAGCAGTCACTGTGCGAGAGGTGGGGGACACTTGGACAGGTCTTCAGTCCATCACAGTGACACATAGAGACAAACGAGACAAACAACCATTCACTCTGTCACTCACACCTAGAGACAATGTAGAGTTATCAATCAGAATAACATGCATGTTTTTATTCTGTGGGAGGAAACTGGAGTACCCGGAGAAAACCTATGCATGCACGGAGAGAACATGCAAACTCCACACAGAAAGGCCCCTGGCTGGGATTCAATCCGGCAACCTTCTGGCTAAGAGGCAGCAGCTCTAACAACTGCTCCACCGGGCCGCCCTAAAGTGTTCCCTTACTGAAAAAAATCTGGATTTTTGATGGCAATATATGTTCACATGTCAAACAAACGTGTCAAAATCACACAAAAAATACTTGAAGCATGTGTTTTACATGCTATAGTATAGCTGTGTGTGTGTGTGTGGGGGGGGGTGTTTATTGGCATAATATATCTTGAACCACTGGACAGATGTTAATGCAAAAAGTAACAAGTGTCTACAACTGACTAAAGTTTGGAGTCAGTCTGATTCAAGATGGCTGCCACTGCCATGACACATTCAAAAACAGAAGAAAGGCGATAATAGTAGTAGCTGAGTCTGATCCCCAACACATACCTGGGTGCTAAAATACTGTGAGAAATCTTGTTTGCCATTAACTCTGTCCGTCTGTTAGCAAAATATTTCATGAGCCACTGAATTAATGAAACTTTCACCAAGTGATAAATGGCTGTTCCTCTAAAACCGACACATTTTTGAAGTCAACTCAATTCAAGATGGCCGCCACAGCAAACTGACTTAAAAAAACAACACAAGAATGGTTTCAACCTAGTCAGTTTTACAGATACTCTACTAAAACCAGTTGTGGTTAAAGCTAAAAGTCATTCACACCACATGTGCTACTTACTACATGAAATCTTGGCTTAAAATTTTAGCACTAACTATAGGACTCAGTCCTGTTTATCTGTTAGTAAAATATCTTGTGAACTACAAACAAACTTCAATGGACATTTTCAGAGTAGTTGTTCGTTCAACCTTTATTTATACAGGCTAGCCTCATTGAGCCACCAGGACTCATATACAAGAGGGACCTGTTCCAGACATGTACAGGTTGTAGTTATTAGCAGTTACTATATGAAATGCGTGAGGGAAACTTGCCTTCCGTGCAGAATCGCCATCAAGGAATTTCAGAAGCATTTTTTTCGTAGCTCGAGGCTGCTCATGATCAAATGTCCCAGGTTTACAACCATACAACCCCTTATTGAGCATGGACTTTTTTGGTTTTGAACCAGTTTGACATGACTGTCAACGAGGAAGAGGGCCGGCATCGGAGGATGGGGCGTGCCAAAGACACCATCTTAGCACCAACATAACTTTTCATTCAACCTTTATTTAGACAGGTAAATCCCATTGAGCCTCGAGGACTCATTTACAAGAGAGACCTGATTTCAACAAAGAATGATGACAACAATGGACAACAGCGACAACAATAAACAGTTCTAAAAAGTCATACAGATTTTTTTTTTTCATTAGGATGGCTAAAAAAAAGAAGAGTAACAAAAAACAGCTAGATTCTAAGGTCAATGTAGAAAACTAAAAGCAGGAACATGTCTGCATTGGTCCCTGCCAGGAGTCCAACAGATTCTTAAAGCCACTTAGAGAGGTCAGAACTGGTTTGTTCCACTTTGGAGTAAGCTGCTTGGGGGAAGAATCAGTTTTGTGTTGTGTGTTTCCTTGACTGGTGAAACCTTCCGGATGGAAGATGAAATGTTTCAGCAGAAAAAGAAACTGTCCAGATGACCTGACATCTTTGTTGGATTGTATACCTGGATTATTGAGCATGGACATTTTTGGTTTTCATACAACCTTGAACTCACCCGATTTTGTCTGCTCTCGGAAGCTAAGTAAGATTGGGCTTGGTTAGTACTTGGATGGGAGACTGGCTGGGATACTAGGTGCTGTAAGCTTTGGCCGAGATGGTGTAATGGTAAGGCAGCCAATTTGGGACCAGAATGTTGCAGGTTCAACTCCCCGCCATAAGCACATGTCGTGGTGTCCCTGAGCAGGACGCCTAATCCCTAATTTGCTCCCCAGGCACCTACACAGCTGCCCGCTGCTCCACCTGTGTGTATCTCATGTCTGATGGGTTAAATGCAAAGAACTAATTTCATCACTGGATAGAAACATACAACAATGAATAGCACTTTCTTTCTTTCTTTCTTTGGGTGATTAATCCAATAATTCTCAGTCAGGTCATCTGGACAGTTTCTTTTGTATAGAGATGTTTCACCCTCTATCCGGAGGGCTTCATCAGTCTGAGGAGTTCCAGTAAACTGTTTCCCCACCAAGAAGTAAACTCCTTAAGTGGACCAACCAGTTTGCTGGAGCTAAGATGGTTTCTGGGAATTATTGGATTTGATACAATTCAGTTTATTTATATAGCGCCAAATCACAACAATGTTGTCTCAGGGCACTTTACAGGAACATTCACATACATAAAAGCCAATTAGTAAAGTTCTCTAAGGATACCTGGATGATTGAGCAAGAACTTTGTTGTTTTGGGTGATTAACTTTTGGAGCAAATCCAGTTCAAAATGGCCACCACAGGTAATCAATATCATCCAACACAAAACATGGCTGTCATTCAGTGAATCACACTTACCCAGCTGGAAATATTGTACCTCAAGGGGCAAAGTGAAGTTGGACTGGTCAGCCTGGTGCTCGTCAATGTAACCTTGAGCAGAACGTGCGTGCCAGAAAGCCATTAATCTGGCAACGAAGGAACTCAAGAAAATGGACAAAATACTGAAGTCGAGAAGCTTCCAGGGTTCTGAAATGTATTCTCTGATGTCTTGGGACCAAATAACTTTGCACTCCTCCCATATTTTACCTGTTGGGGGGGATAAAAGGCATTATTTTGTTCAGATGCACAGTTTCTCTCTTTAAAAATTCATGTTAAACATGTACTGTACACGTCATGAATACTTTAATTGAAATTACATATAATTTACTGTTACTTCATATCAGTAAAACGTGATAATTAACCTTACTTCTAGAACTAAGTAAAAATGTTAATCTGTCTATTTGGTTGTTGGAAATTAAGTCATTGAGTTGTGTTGAATGTGGTAAACACAAATTTCTGGTCTTAAGTAGTGGCTGCACGACTTCATATTTTTTTTAAAGTTGACTTCATCATGATAAAAGTCTAGTTGACTAGTCGCTGTGACGTCCTAGGAACTCAAGACGCTATATCATATTCACAAAAAAAGTCACTTAATATTTACAATAAAAAAAGAACAACAAAACATCAGGAGCATGTATTTATGCTTCTACCATTTACTACTTATTTACTACTGCAAATAAGTCACAGGAAACCCAAAACTATTATTAAGCTGCAAAAGTGAAAGAAACATGTGGCACGTCAAAAACAAAACGAAAAACAGGAGGCGACGTGGCGGCTGGGTCCAGTCCAGTCAAGCTTCAGGTGGGTTGCTGGCGGTGAGCCATCTGGACTTTTTTGTTTTTTAATTCTTTCAACCCATTTTAAGTGACTTCAATCATCACAAATAAGATTTTAAAAAAAGGCTAATAAAGCATTATAATGTACAGAAAGTAAAGATCTGAAGAGTGAAAGGTATTTTAACACAAAAAATGAATGAAAGAAAAAGAAGTTGTGATGGAAAAGTTGTGACCTATGACCCAAGAAATGATGAGAATCTCCATCCAGGTGAAGGATGTGGTCTTCATCCTGAACAGCTGAGTGGGGTAGTCGTGGGCGGTCATGTTGGGCAGCAGTGACGTTCCTGCGAAGCGGTCTGCAGCGTTCAGGACCAGCAGACAAAGAAAGATCATGAAGGAAGCCGTGTGAGCCACGAACTTCAGGAAGGGTGCACACATGAGTCTGCCCAGCTGACGTCACAGGAAGGCAAAGCAAAAAAACACATGACTTGTAGTTTTATAATACCCATAAACTTATATTAAACTGTATGTAAGTGATGCAAAGTCTGCATTGTGAAAGCAAGCCCTGTTTCCAACTAAGCTGTGATCGACAGCGACCTAATCAGCAAAAAGATGAGTGTTTTTATGTTTGCTTATTTGACTATTTAAACAGAAACACATAGATATCCTGAATTATTAACCAGTTTAAGATTCTTTAGCAGATTATAAAACGCTTCCTTTAAGAAAAGAAATGCGTGAACTTTGATGTGACTCACTTTACTTGACGGTACCACCCAGTAAATAAAAGCCATGATAGGCAGTCCAGCAGCTACACCCATGAAGAGAAGAATTTTAAAGGCCAACGTTTGCTGGCGTAGTCCGGACAAGTTCTCGTACCAGATGGAGCGCAGCTGCTGTTGGCAGTTTGGATGAGCCACAAACTGCTCCAAGAGACATAAGATCATTTGGTGTGTTTGTTTGTGACAAGGAAATAAAGATGGAAAGGAAAAAATGGATAAAACTTGAATATTGCTTGGTCAATAATGAGCTAAAATATTAAAACAATTGGTGATTATCTGATAATCTTACCTTTTTTACTTCGTATTTTATTACATGTTTTAACCTGATGAGGTTTGGTCTGCACAAGGTGTCGGAGTCAGGCCAGGACTCGGCGTCACCGTTTAAGACGGCCTCCACTTCCTGTGTGTTTCGACACAGATCCAGGAGTCCCACCACAAAGTCTTTGCACTGCAGCGACAGTTTCTCGTACTCGTTCTGTCATACGAACATGGAAGCAAGAGAAACAAACCATACTTTCAGCTATTTTAACTGTGCATATATCAAAACTTTCAGCTCATTCAGCTATGTTTTGAAACTTTTACACTTGTTGTTTAATTTTATTCAGATCGTTTCCATTATTAAATTAACGAGGAATTTTTCTAATCTTTGAAAAACTTCACTATGCTTCATTTGTAGCTTTTAGCTACTGTTATGTCAGATTTAGCCTTTTTTTTTCTTTTGGCTGCTCCCTTATTCAGGGGTCACCACAGCAAACTAACTCACACCAAGACTTGGAAACTGTTTTTACATTGGATGCCCTTCCTGACACAACCGCAGATCACGAGCTATACCACAGCCCTCTGTGTGGAGCAGAGTGCTGCCATCTCGGATGCCTGGGGGAGTAGATGGTGGGGGTTAAGGGCCTTGCTCAAGGGCCCAGAGTGGGGCAAATGAGGGTGGAGGCAGGTGTGCTTCACCTTTCTCACTTACATTTTGATGTTGTCGGTCCAGGGAGTGAAGGGCGTCCTTCGAACCTCTGAATCCTTCCAGAGAAGGAATCCATCTCTGCTCTTTGCAGATGATGTGGTCCTGTTGCCGTCATAGTGCCATGAGCTTCAGCTCTCACTGGAGCGGTTCACAACTGACTGTGAAATGGTTGGGGTGAGAATCAGCAGCACCTCCAAATTTGAGGTCATGGTCCTCAGTTAGAAAAGGGTGGATTGATCTCTTTGGGTCGAGAGTGAGGTTCTGCCTCAAGTGGAGGAGTTCAAGTATCTCTGGGTTTGTTCACGAGTGAGGGAAGAATGGAGCGTGAGATTGACAGACGGATTGGTGCAGCGTCTGCAGTATTGCGGACTCTGTGCCAGTCCGCTGTGGTGAAGAGGGGGCTGACCTGTAAGGCAAAGCTTTCTTTTTACTTGTCAGTCTACGTTCCTACCCTCACCTATGGTCATGAGCTCTGGGTGGTGACCGAGAGAATGAGATTGTGGATACAGGCAGATGAAATGAGTTTCCTCCGCAGGGTAGCTGGACTCTCCCATAGAGATAGGGTGAGAAGTTCAGTTATCTGGGAGAGACTCGGAGTAGAACTGCTGCTCCTCCACATCGAGAGGAGCCAGTTGAGGTGGTTCGGGCATCTGGTAAGGATGCTCCCTGGGCTTCAGGCATGGCTGACCAGGAGGAGAACTCAGGGAAGAAGCCGGACACGCTAGAGAGAGTATGTCTCTCGGTTGGCCTGGGAGCGCCTTGGGGGCCTCCCAGAAGAGCTAGAAGAGGTGGTTGTGGCAAGAGATGTCTGGATCTCCCTGCTCAAGCTGCTGCCCCCGCAACCCGACTTCAGAATAAGAAAATGGCTGGCTGGCTGACTGGATGGATGGATGGATGGATGGATGGATGGATGGATGGATGGATGGATGGATGGATGGATGGCTGGCTGGCTGGCTGGCTGGCTGGCTGGCTGGATGGATGGATGGATGGATGGATGGATGGATGGATGGATGGATGGATGGATGGATGGATGGATGGATGGATGGATGAGGGAGTTAAACCGGTGACCTTCCAATCACACGCCTAACTTCTCTAGCCTCTGCACCACCACTTCTGCTGCTAAACATGCTTTAAACATTAATTTTCCTTTACTGTATTATTTTAATAAAAACACATGTAGGTCCAAAATGACAAACAAAGAAAACACAAAAATCCACAATATTCCAAATTTACTGCTACTGTTCTCCCCAATTTTTATTTTTAGCTACTGTTAATATGGTTTCAGCTCCTTCATTTAAAAAATAAAAAAAATCTTCAAAAACAATTAACACTTAACATTTACCATTACTACTTCTTTAATTTATTAATATATATACATTTTAATTATTATTATTCCAAATGGAGCTACAGTGTTTATAGAAAAGTAATGTGTACATTTGAGGTCAAACATTGTACCTTAAACTCCTTTTCGGTGTTTGCCAGGACTGCGAGCTCCTTGCTCAGCTCCAAAGCTGCCATCACGGGGTCTGGACTGGAGAGACAAAGGTACGCTGGACTGGCCAGACCTTTGTACGCACTGATTCGAGACTTTGAGTGGCTAAAAGCATCACATCCGTGCTGCTCACAACAAGTCCTGCACTGACAGAAGCAGTCATGGGGACGCTCAATACGGACCCCCTTTGTGAGAAGTATATGCACTATTTCATACTTGTGGCACTGTGAAGCCAGGATGAGGGGGGTGGTGTCATGAGAGAAATATGTGCCACTGTTGTCACAAGAAAAAACCTCATCCCGTGTCTCCAACTGGCTGAGACTGTTTGTCAGCCTCCCAACATCTGCAAAGACCTTGTGGCTTAACATGGCCTCTACTATACGGATGTAACCTTTACTGATGGCCAACAGCAAAGCTTCCCCTATTCTGGCAAGTTCTTTCTTCTCAAGAAGAAGTTTGCAAACTTCTAAATGTCCCTTGGCAGCTGCAAGCTGCAGTGCATTCTGACCCAAGTCGTTAACACAGTTGACATTGAGTAGTGGAAGCTCCTTCAGGAGCCGCCTCACTTCAGGAAGATTTCCATTTTCCACAGCTTCCAGAAAACGCTCCTCTGTCGAAGGAAGAGAGGCTGACGGCTGAGAGTGAAACAGGTAGCCAGCTCCCCGAGCCGTCCGTCTCCAAGGTTTGGTGCCTAAAAGTTCCATCGACATTGTGGATTTTCCTTCACTGTTCTAAGTTGTCATGTGAGGCAGGTGCTAACGTTGACTATTGTTCTGAGTGCTGAGTCAGAATGTCTAAACATTCAGCTCATCTGGGAAAAGTATGCTATGACTTTTTTTTTGGTAGCTTGATACTTTTTTAAATATTTCACTTTATTCAAATTTTCCACAGAAATACATCCAGATCTCCAGTTTCTTCAAAAATGTTGTTCTGTTAGAAATCTGCTTCGGCATGCTTTATTTTAGTCTACTTCTGCTAGAGTCCTCCAGACTCTGGGACCTTGATTTCCAAAGAAAATGCAAAATTTACTTTCATCAGAGAACATAACTTTGGACCAGTCAGCAGCAGTCCCAGGCAAGACGCTTCTGAAGCTGTCTCTTGTTCAAGAGTGGCTTTACACAAGGACTGTGACAACTGAATCCCTTGTCTTGCATACGTCTGAGCGTGGTGGTTCTAGTTGAGGTGGTTCAGGCATCTTGTAAGGATGCTCCCTGGGCACCTCCCTTGGGAGGTGCTTCAAGCATGTCCAATTGGGAGTAGACTCAGGGGAAGACCCAGGACACGCTGGAGAGACTGTCTCTCGGTTGGCACGGGAACGCCTTGGGGTCCTCCCAGAAGAGCTAGAAGAGGTGGCAGTGGAAAGAGATGTCTGGGCCTCCCTGCTCAAGCTGCTGCCCCAGCGATCCAACTTTGGAAAAAGCAGAAGATGAATGGATGGATACTTCTGCTAATTTAGCTAACACTCTGCTGCAGCTGTAAGCTGCTCTTTTGCTACTTTTAGCCACTATTTTCATGCTTTAACTGCTATTCTGTTTTTTAAGTCTTTAGCTACAATTTTGCTAATTTTAGCTACTTTCACTGGATTTTGCTACATTTAGCTTCAGGTATGATATTATTAGCAGCTGTTTTACTTATTTGACATCTTATTTTAGTTTTAGCAAGTGTTTTGCTAAATTTAGCTAATGTTTTTTTTTTTTTTTTTTTTTTAACCTTTAACTTCTATTTTGCTTATTTTAACTTTGGCAACTGTTTTGCTAAGTTTATATTTTGTATCTGTTTATCAAATTTTAGCTCCTGTCCCCTTTCATCTTTTAGCTACTTTTCTGCTTATTTTAATTGTTCAGCCTGTGTTCTGATTCATTTAGCTTTTCGCTTGCGTTCTGCTCATTTTGGCCTCAGTTTTGCTCGTTTTAGCTTCCAATTTATCAACTCAGTTTATTTTATTATTATTATTTGGTGAATTTCTGCAAAGTCAGCATTCACATTGTATTTTCATCCATCTCTATTTCCAAAAAAAGGGTCCTGGAAATGATAATTTAAGAGCTGAATGCATGCTTGGCGTCAGCTGAATTTGCACTTGGGCTACATGTGTGACACCACCCACAGATTCATCATCTGCTCTTTTTAATCACATGACATGGCACTGTTTATCCACTCCACCTCTTGTCCCAGCACAGATTCATTCAGCTCTTCTAGAATACGAACTAAAGAATGATGCTGCTGTCTGAGATCATATAAGCAATCTTTTACCATGTAAGCCTTTTTAAGCATGACACAAAACACAAAAAATACACTAATGATAGCAGCTATTTTAGTACTAATTACATCTTGTGTTACTGTCAAGCTAGTTAATCTATTTTCTGCTCAGTAATCACCCTGAAATAATGCGGTTATCTCTGGAGCGAATTGCTTTGGCACTGATGCAGATGTCAAATGATGACAAGACCCCTTCATTTAGTCATAATTAATGTTAACACAATTTTACGCAACAGAGCAACCTGGAAAGTGCAAGCAGATAATGCAGCTGTTTGCTAGTCCAATTGTTTGTGGAAAAAGTTGTCCTTCTGTTTATCTAGTGCAAGTGAGAAAATTCTAAAGTTTGAATCAAAATTAAATTTACACTATGAAAATTACTTCAGATTCTGTAAAATTGTTTATTTTTACAGGAAAACAGACAGAAGCCTGAATCTTTGCTTCCTTAAATTTAGAGATCTGTTGTGCTTTTCCATCATATTTGTCAGAAAGTGATGGATCAGTGGACTGAAAAAATAAATAAAATATATTTGATGGGTACCTGGCATCCTTTATTAATGATGGGTAAGATTAATGTAAAAGCCTATTCAGAAAAATCGAGCATTAGCAAACACTCACCTCTGAAAGGATTGGTCCTCCAAATGTCTCTGCAATCATTCCAGTTTGAATCATGAGAGTATTATAACAGCATCCACTGATGGTCAGTTGCCTTTCAAGTAAAATCCATCTCGGCTTGAAGACAACCTTTCAGCCACAGTCCATCCCAGCGTATGTTTTCATGCTGCATGCGTTTGCACGCCCAGTGGGCGGCTTTAAGCAGATTTAAAGGTGCGTCCTGGATACTGAATTACGTTTAATTTCATATGATTACACAGCACCAACTTAACCCAAAATGTAGTTAAGCCATCAAAACCATACAAAAAGTGACATTCTTGTAAGGCAAGGTGCAAAATTATCATTTTATAACTTATTCAGAAAATGTCAGTATTCAGGCCACAAGTAATGGTTTGTCGTTTTTACTAATGAGACTAGCCGTTTGTGTGCATTTTTAGTACAGTGAATATTCAGTATCCATCTACCTTTGTACAACTCGATATAACGGCAGCAAATAAACGAACAAAGTAGATTTTATCAAATCCTAGTGATTCCTGTTGCAATCAGATATGAAAAGCAAAAGGGCACACACACACTTTCATATTTGACTATAGACTTTCATACCAAGGAAGGATATTAGTCAGTACAAAATGTTAAAACTACAACTTCTACTAAAGATTTAAAAAGACCAGTTTGTGTGAATGTTCAAAGATAAGGGTCAACACTTACTACTCAAGGATTCAAAGATATTTTTTATTGTCATACCAGCTCATATTTGCATGTTTATAGTGCGAAATTCAGACTCAGGTCCCAGATTAAAAAGCCTAACAATTAACAAATAAGTACAATATATACATACACACACACACACACACACACACACACACACACACACACACACATATATATA